AAAAAAAAAAAAAAAAGGACTGAGTGTTCCACAGATAGTACACATAGCCCGTATCAAATCAATGACCCTGAGATGTAGAGAAAGGCAAGAGTAGTGAAACTAAAGCTAGGACTGGGTAAACCGCTTCTCCAGGGTAATACATGCCTCTTCACAGACAGAAGGATGTGCTGAGAAATAATGTCTTTCCTAATGAGCAGCTTATCTTGCCCTAATAATAGCCCCTGATAGCCTCTTTGATTAAAGTTTATGGTCACCTAATTCCTGATCTCCATGATATTGATGTGCCCCCCCACCCCCAAACTGGCACATTCCTCTCTTGTTGGACAGTATGATTGACACTCCTCGGTTATCATCTTCCTTCTGACCAAATACCAGAGCCCCTTGAGGCAGCTGTGAGTGGTGCCTCCTTCCTCATTGACTCCTCTTAAGGTGCTCATTCAGAATTTTACTTCTTACTAGAGCTCACCCTTGATGGTTCTGATACAGTGTCTTTTACTGCATGGAATTTTTGTGTTCACTTAGGGCTTATGCCAGACTGGTTTAAATGTTTCATTGTAAATTCTTAAATTATATATATGCCAACCTCTGCTGCATGACTTGTTCCCCTCCCCAACTCTTGATCATCCCACAAGATACAAATGAGTCAACACAATCTGTTCCTATTGCCCTCCAGTATCTGTAGAAGGAAGTGTCAAAGATTAAGTAAGCAGTAGGCTTAGATTTGTTCAAAATAAAACTGAAGCGTTTTTGTTTTCTCCTTCAAATTGTTTTTTGTTTGCTTAAGTGGTCTGCTCAGGAAATGGCCTTGTATCTAAGTGGGTTTTTGAGGTTTTGTTATTTCACACTGTTTCTATACCTTTTGTTTTACAATGGAACAGACTCCTAAGACTTGCCTTGCTGCTTGCTTTTAAAAAAGAGCTGCAGTTATGCCAAGACTCTATTTGCAGATCCTTAGACTTAGGGCAAAAGAACTATGGATGACATCTAAGCAATTTTTTCTTTCTTATCTCATATCTACCTCCACCTCCTTCCTCCCTAAGAAGAGACAATAAAATAGGGGCTTGAGGAAAATTGATTTAAATTTTATTTTATGAAGTGTCTTTAATTAATAAAGTTCTGGTTTTGCTGGAAGTGAGGACATTCTAAGAGGACACAGATTATGAAACTGTGTATCTCTCATTTGTTCAAAAACAATCATTTCCTTTTAGGGCTATACTTTGCTACTTGGCAAATAAGAAAGTTAGTTTGGAATGTTTTTATTTTTCTCAGTAATTAAGTCTATTTCTTTAGTTCTGAAATGCTTTATTAACTGGTTTAGTGTGTGTGTGCTTTTACCATATTCTTGCTTGTTCAACACTGTATACCCAGAGTGTTTAGGACTTAGTGGATACTCAATAAATTTGTTGAATGAATTAATGGATTTTTGTGTTTTTTTTTTAATTTAAAAAGTGGTATAATAAAAGAAAAAATTTTAAAATCATCCTTAATCCCAGCACACACACAATTGATTTTTTGCCATTTTTAGTTTCTGTTTAACTACGTACAGTATATACTTTTACATGCTTATAGTTATTGTGAACTTGAAATTCTGTATCTTCTTTTAAAATGTAAACCTTTTCCTATATTTTATATGTTGTAGAATAACCGAATCAAACACTGCATTGCTCAGAGCAGCAAGAAACTCTCCTTTAAGGCTAGATGGGGTTAATTTTAGAAACATGATTCTATGCCAAACAAATACTGCTGAACCGCTACGGTTCATTTTACTTTAAGTGGATTGTATTGAAATTCTTTAGTTGGAATATTGGCTTCAAGTTGCCTATAACCAATATATTTCAATGACCTTTCCTTTTCCTATTGCAGGACTCAATAAAATGGAAGTAGCTTACTAAGAATCACAATTTCCTAAAGGGAGTTTAAATAATGTTGCAAAACTGAAAGGACTGCTAATATCTTACATAAGGAAGTCCTAATGATACATTTCCCAGTTTTCTTCAGGATTATTTGCAACTAATGTTAACATATTCTTCACTGAACTTCTACTTCCAAACAGAGATGATATGCTGATTTCTGGGTGTTCTCACACTTATTTAGACACTCTTGGACAGATTTGTACCCACTGAGGAAAAAAACGTATGCAAACTAAGATGCAGAAGCTTTTTCTGGAACAGCTTTCCTGTCAGACAGGGCTTAACTGCCACATGCACAGCATGGCTTCCTGAAACAAAGGCCTTTTCCAGGACATTGGCTGCAGAGTAGAAATGTCTTCTCTAGAAACAGGCTCTCCACTCCTGAAAGTTATCCTGCTGTCAGCAAGGTGGTTGTTTTTGCTTTCTTTCTGTTCCCTCACGGTAAATCAGCCTTACAAATGCGGGATAGTATGCCATTGCTGGGGCAGTGCTCCTCTGGGGGCCACTGTGCTCCAGATCGTATATTGGCCATTACTTTCAGTCTTTATATCCAACCGAAGCTCAAAAAGCTCTTCGGGGTGGGGGAGGTCCTGTAACCCACACTTCCCTTAACGGAGGTCAGCACTTCCCCAGCCCTGAGAGAGGTATAGACTGTCAGAAGCAGCTGACTTTGCTTCATCCCAAAGACAGTTTGAGGTCTATGGGGTACTTAAGAATAAAAACTCTGAATAAAAATGCTTTCTCTGATGAACAGAATTTTGCCACCGATCACACTGGCAAGAAACCTCTGGGAAAAGAGTGCCCCCCAAAGTTTAGCAACTCCAAGCAGTATCTGTCTCTCTTTCTGGGCCCAACTGAAGCAGAGGTCATTTGGAACTTGAGGAAACAGGAGGTGTCAACTGGGCCTTTGTGCTCGCTGGAGAGATGGGGAGAGGCAGAAACCAGCCATGAGAGCTGTAACTCTGCCTTTTCATTGGGAAGCAAGAAGAGAGAGGTGAATTTTGCTTAAAGGCAGAGTGAACAGTCTCAGAGCTAAGTTATGTTCTGGTTAGCCTCTTATTTATTGAAAACTTAAATTGTAACCAGGTTCCTTTGTTGAAAATGAAGGCGCTAGGGCCCTGCAGTGAGATGATGGCTTTGTTGTGTGACCACAGAGGCTGGTTACGCACTAATTTCCTCTAGGGCTTGTGATGAAGTCAGTAAACCACAGCCTTCAGCACACTCTGCTCAGGTAGTGGCAGTGGCTTCTTGGTGGTGTCTCGGCCATGACACACATTTGACATGCCCCCCCTCAGCTTATTCACACTATTCATAGACTGTCTCTCTTGCTCTGCAGCATGGACCAAAGAGAAATTCTGCAGAAGTTCCTGCATGAGGCCCAAGATAAGAAAATTAAGAAAGAGGAGTTTGCCAATGAATTTCTGGTGAGTCCTGTGTGTAACACTCTCAGGGTAGTTACACAGACTGTTTAGCTTACTCTGATGGTCCAGCTCTCCTAGACCAAATTGCTCTTGGATTAAAATGAATATTAGACCTCAGAGGGGGCAGGAGGGAAGGAAGGCAACCTAAAAGTTTGACTTCCCTGAGCAGTTTGTATGTAAGTTATTCTCTCCAAAATACTGACTTCGATATTTTGCTTGCTATTTTTTGGCAGGGTGTAGGTGGGGGTCCTTCTAGGGTCTGACAATGTTCTATTTATTGACTAGGGTGGTAGTTGCACTGGGGTTTCTTTGTAATTAGTATACTGTACTTATTTTATGTACTCTTAATGTGTTAGTATATTTCATAATTTCAAACAGAAAAAAGAAGACAAACTATAGGAATAAATAGGAATCCTACAGAAGACATACATACTTCCAGTTGTATAAATACTAATATTAATTGAACATCCAGAGTTCTGTAGGTATCTGCATTGTGGTTAATGATTCAAATTGCTTTTTTTTATTTTCTATTAAGAGGAAGGAGACCAAGACTAACTTTTCATGGCTCAATGAACATTTTTAGCCTTCCTTTGGGATTCCATTTGGATGACAAAAATTTTTTTTAAAGCACCAAAATTACCTGCTGCTTCATTTCTTTTCTTTTTGGTGAAGAAAAAATATTAGAACACATGTTTTTGCAATAACAGGGTTTCCTTAACCTTCTTTTGCTTGGAGATGTAAAAGGCTAGGTTGGAGAGTAGGAGCAAGTGAAGGGAATGGAGAGAAACATTGAGAATGCGGCAGCCTAAGGTCAACTGGATTTGATAACCCAGAGGAACATCGCATCTCCTCTGAGGGTACTGTGGTTATTGATGCAGTGATCAGCTGGATAGGCCTTATTGATCCTATAACCGAGTACATCAGATTAAGTAGGATTATCGGAGAGTACCTATCGTGTATTTTGGAATACTTCCAGCTGGTGTTTCAGAGCTGTAATATCTTCAGACCTTAGCTCTTTAGAGGTGAAGAAGTGGAAAAACATGGAAACTAACGTACAAAACCTAGATTTAAATCATGAGTCTGTTACCAACTAAATTCTAGACTATTTGACCTGTTCCTTAATCTCCCCAAGCCTTTGTTTTCGAATTTATAAAATGGGGATAATAGGTTCGTCTTTCCTATCCTCACAGGATTGTTGTGATGATTTAATATCAATAATAATTAAATGTGGTCATTTATTCAGCAATGTTTATAGAGCACCTACTACATACCAAGCACAGTGCTAGGCACTGAGGATACAGCAGTCAACAAAACAAAAGTCTTTGCCCTCATGGAGCTAGCACTCTGGTACACCACAGTAATGTAAAAACACTCTGTAAAAACTTGAGTGCTTAGCTATTATGATTGAGTGATTAATATTATGATAGAGATCCGTTCAACTCAGGTAATATTGTGGTATCATGAATAAAGCGCTCTCAGTGCCATGGGCCAGTCAGTCTGAAGCCCTCTGGGGAGAGTTACCAGGGAAGGAGGGAAGGAGGGAAGGAGGACATCCTAGCCCATGTGTCTCTTTAGACATGGGCCTGCCCCTGGCCTATAACTCCTAAGCCAAATGCACCCAAAGCATAGAGGTAAAAAGTGAGGGCAGCCTCTGTTTTATTCTGGTTGTGTTTTTTTTTTTTTAAATAATGTAAACTATATCCCTAATATTTTACCTTTTATCTCCAAAAACTAAACCAAATCCAATGCCGTCAAATTGATTCCGACTCGAAGCGATAATATAGGATAGAGTAGAACTGCCCCATAGGGTTTCCAAGGCCGTAAATCTTTATGGAAGAAGACTGCCACATCTTTCTCCTGCGGAATGGCTGGTGGGTTCGAACTGCCAACCTTCTGGTTAGCTGCTGAGTGCTTTAACCACTGCACAACCAGGGCTCCTTTCTTTTCTCAGATCATTATAATATCTCACCCAGATTATGGCAGCTGCCTCCTAATTGGTTTCTCTGCATCTAGCCTTGCTCCACTTCGATCAATTTTCCATTCAACACTCAAGTGATCTTTTAATAATACAAATCTGATCATTTTTCCCGTTAAAAAACCTTCTATAGTTTGTCTTCTTTTTTCTGTTTGAAATTATGAAATATACTAACACATTAAGAGTACATAAAATAAGTACAGTATACTAATTACAAAGAAACCCCAGTGTAACTACCACCCTAGTCAATAAATAGAACATTGTCAGACCCTAGAAGGACCCCCACCTACACCCTGCCCTGCTGAAGGGGTAATCACTATCCTGACTTTTATATTAATCATTTCCTTGATTTTCTAGCTTCTGATTTTAAGGACCTTTTTTTTGGGGTGGTGATTAAGTGGAACCTCACTGTTCACTGAGTCATGTCCTCCAGTGGAAAAACAGTCTTGCCCTCAGCCCCACCTAAAGGTTCATCTGAGATACCAGAGTGTGCAGCTTTGGGGGAGTGAGGGAGTGTTGAATGGGGCCAGGCTGCTTGCTTGAGCAAGGTAAATACTACCATTAAATTGGAGGGTTTTCTAGCTGGTCACATCCCACATCCCACCTTAATTCCTTAATGTATTTCTCCCAGGGTTTGATGATTCTGGAGTTTGGGAACTGATGCTGTGACACATGGCTACTGCTAGTCTGAAGGATAGTGCCTTTGTGCAAGTTACCAAATGGCTTCTCTGCTTCCAGGTGGAGGCCCTGTGACCTCCTCTACCCCGTCTCCAGGTCCAGGGCTTAGGTTTCAGTCCCCACTCTCCCCAGCCCCCCTTGGCCGGGTATCTCTATTCAGAGCACAATATTCATAACTAGATGTGGCAGCCCTGTGTGACAGCTGAAGCCAATACCATGCTTAGAACTTCTTGTATCAGGACTAAATTTAATCTCTCTAGATGAAGCTGCCACTGAATGTCCCTATAAGGTTTTCATGCATTCATTCAAATATGAGGATACAATACAATGTTCCTGCTTTGTGGAGCATGTCTTCTAATTGGAGAGGCAACATTAAACAACTAATTATTATTTAATTACAATTGCAATAGTCTTTGATAAGGTGTCAAAGAAGCATCACATTCATTCTTATTAGTCATAAAAGCCCTGTGAGGTAGCTACAGTTATTATCTCTGACTTACAGATGAGGAAACTGAGGCCCTGAGAGTATTTGGCCTAAACTTATTCAGCTGTTAAGCTGTAGAGATAGAACTTAACCCAGATTTGTATTATTCAGAGCCTGTGAAATTAATCTTTATGCAACAGTGCCTTGCTTCATTTCAGCCAATAACGCTGAGTCCCTCAAAGCCTGAGAGTAAATCACCAGTTAATATAGTTTTCATATAGCAGAAACAGCAGTATGCAACCACATTATTGAAAATTTCTTAAAGGTACCTTTTAAAAAGCCCTTATTGTAGTTATTCTTATAAAACAATATTATTGCAAGGTTAAAAAATAAATAAATTCATCACAGTACCAGCATTCCAAAAAACAAATTTTATTTTGTGGATCTTCTAGTTCTCGTCCATTTATATAATACTTTTTATATTATTGTAATTATAGCATAGATATAATTTTGTATTCTCACATTTTCGCTTAGCATTATACCAAAATTATCTACCATGATGATTCAAAATATTTATAATATTTAATGGCTAAGGAGCCCTGGTGCCACAACAGTTAAGTGCTCGGCTGTTAACTGAAAGGTTGGTGGTACGATTCCATTCAACGGCTCAACAGGAGAAAGACTCCTATAAAGATTACAGCCTAGAAAACCCTGTGGGGCAGTTCTACTCTGTCACATAGGATCACTCTGGGTTGACATCGACTGGATGGCACCTATCAACAACAACGATGCAGCATGGCATAATGAAATAATAATAATAATAATAACCAATACTTCCATGCTCTTCCTATGTGCCAGACACTGTTCTGAGTACTTTTATATATCAATTCATTTAATCCATTGAGGAAGGTGCTGCTATTATTTCAATTTTATAGATTAGGTGACTGAGGCACAGACAGGTTAATTGACTTGCTCAGGGTCCACAGCTAGTAAGCAGTATAACTGAGTTTTGAATTCAGGTAGTCTTTTTTACCATCTGTACTGGTAACAACTTTGTAGTCACATAAATCTGGGTTTAAATTTAGGTTCTGCCTATCATTAGCTGTGTGACTTTGAACAAAGTCATCAAAAAGTGGGAACAAATAACATTCACTTTGCACAACTGTGAAGATAACAGAATAAGCATATAAAATACCTGACACATAGGACGCATCCAAATAATTTAATCGTTTCTGTACCGTGGACACTTAGGTTGTTCCAAATTTTTCACGATTATTGATAACACTGCAATGAATATGTTTGTCCATGTCGTTTTTCCCTTCTTTTGGATTACATCTTGAGGCTAGATCCCCCAAAATGTTATTATTGGGTCAAAGAGAATTAGCATCTCAATGCTTAAACTCTATGCCCATGAGTCAATTCTGACTCATAGCTACGCTACAGGACAGAGTAGAACTGCCCCATAGGGTTTCCAAAGAGCGGCTGGTGGATTCAAACTGCCGACCTTTTGGTTAACAGCTGAGCTCTTAACCATGGCACTACCAGGGCCCTTCTAAATGGTTAAGTACTGCCAAATTTATTTCTAAAAGAGTTTTTCTAACTTTCAGTATCTAAATTTATCATTTTCTCTACCACCTTGCTAGTCTTAATAACTGTAAAAGAAAATAATAGATACAATTTATTGACTCCTTACCATGTGCTAGGCAATCTGCTAAGTGCTTTACCATATATAATCTCAGTTCATCTCTACAACAACCCCAAGAAGAAAGTATTATCTTCATTTTACCCACTAAATGGCAAAGCTGGGGTTTGAAACTGGTGTGTTTATTTCCAAAGTCTCTTAACTTCTATACTTACGCTGCATCAGGTAAAATCAAAACTTTTAAAAAATGTAATTGGTGTAAAATAGTACTTTGTTATGTTAAT